GTCTGGTCTAAAGTAACCAAACAATCAATGAAGCAAAAAAAAAGGGAAATCATCTCTTTTTCTTTATTTATAACACAAAATCTCTCACAAAATATATACATACACACTCATCCAGAGATCCAGATATACACAGTGTTCTCATTTTTTTTAACATTATTATAAAGGGATAGAGTCGGAGAGATGACCTCAAGGGAAACTTTGGAAATAGAGACAACAGAAACCGGCAAATCATTTGGTTTTGATGATGATGGTCGCCCAAAGAGAACTGGTAAAGATCAATTTTGTTCTTGATGATACTCTTCATTTCGTTTTCTCCCTTTTCCATTCTCAATTTATATACCTCTGGCATTTGTTGTAAACAATCATAGCGGAAACAGGATGTTGGTAGGGGCTGTTAATTCTGTTATAGGGATGTCAATACTCAATGGTCCAATTGTTTGAGGAAAAATTTAAAGACAAACATCTAGAGAAAACTTAGGGGTGTCTGTGATGTGGATTAGATTATTATTATTATTTTTTTTTTTTTGGTCAACAAAAAATTAATACATTAATCAAAAAGCAAACTAATTACATCCCATATAGGTCTTGGCAAAACCTCACAAATTGCCCTTCAACTTTTTGAGTGTGTGGAACCTTACCCCTCACCTTATAATATGTGATTTTATACCCTCCTGGCATTCGAGTGTGTGAAACTTTACCCCTCACCTTACAATATGTGATTTAATAGCAAAATATTCGAGTTTATGATTTTATACCCATATGACATTCAAGTTTATGATGTCATACCCTTTTAAAATTGTAAAGTGAGGGGTAAAATTCCACACACTCAAAAAATTAAAGGGCAATTTGTGGGTTTTTGCCTATAGGTCTTTACGTAAACAAAGAACAACAAACAGAAGGAAAAAATAACAGAAAGTAGAAACACTAAATCTAAAGGCTGTTGGTGACTCCACTGCAGTCCAACTAAGAAGATGGGGGTTCTACTAACCTTCCGGAGTCGCACATCTTCCTCTCCACGATAGCTAGCTATCGGCCTGCACTCCTCAACCACAAACACACAGCTTGGATAGCAAAAGCAGGTATAAATGCAAGGAACAGTGAGGGATCGCTGCATAGATATGCTAATCCACATCACCTAAGACCCTAGGACACTTGCAACCAAACCTGCAGCCTTGGGAAGCAAAGACCAATCTACTTTCTACATAGCATAAGCACCAACGAAACAGCCACCTATGATACATCCAGGTACATAGATGAAGATGAACCTTCCATAAGAGAAGAATTCTCCAATCCATGTCCTAGGGGAGACTGCAACCCAGAGCAATATACCAGAAATAGACAGCCCAACTACTTCGCAAGAGATACCAGCAACCAAGATACCATAATGACTAGGATAAGTTTTTGTTATTTTCTGCATTAGAATAAAGAAAAGTAGGATAGATAGAATCCAAAAGTATACCTCTGTTTAGCCCTAAAGGAGCCAAGGGGGATCCCATCCCTTGGTCCTTAAAAATTCCATGTGTCATGGTGCCCCAGTGGCCTGTGGCTGTTAGAGGACAGCCACCACCCACCAACCCCTACAACATAATGATCTTTTGTAGCCAAGAACAACAACATTTCCACTAAGCACTGGGACATCCATAAGAGCACAGACATTGACCATGTCACCACAAAGCCTCAAAACAACTAGCCATTTTTCATCAGGATTAAAGACTCCATCAAAATTTATACAACCATCAACACTAAAGAAACCATCCCTACCCTCATTCACCTCCCAATAGATATAATTAAAGCCACTATCCTCTCCCTGATTATCCCAAAACTTTAACACCACCATACTTAATCCCAGAGTGCTCAAGACCAACAAAAGAATCATCATAGGCCAGCATAATAGTACCATCATCAACTAGCAGACTAGTCACTTGATTAATGTTAGATCCAATCAAACAACTATATCCTTTTAGCAATTTGTTGGTACGATATGACCTAAATTCCATTCCGGTACAAGCAAGCAAGGTATGATTCTCAAACTCAAAACCCAATATATCAAAGAAAAATTCAAATCCCATTTCAATTCCATTCAAAGCCAAACCCCTAACGCCGTCTGCAATATCCATGAAGGAAATAAGCATAGCCCTCCAGCTTACCTGGATCTTAAAACGGAGCGAGCTATTGCCATCCTCATTTGTTGGCTAGAGAGTACCCAAGACAGCATACTGAAGGTCCTCATACATAATCAGGAATTCAATGGAGCTACTCCCGGTATCATCAAATTGGGGCACTGAATTTGAGACCGTTAAGAATACCCTCAGCATCTCGGATTCAATCCGACCCCCCCTGTTACGATCCCCATGGTCTTTGATGACCTCGTGGACTGAACCCTTTGTTGTGGAACCATGAACATCCAAGCCTAGGATTGGCTCATCCGCAGCCATGGAAAATGTCCCAGAGTGTCGAAGACATTAACTCCAGGACAGATTAGGCCTCGAAGCATTGTAGAAAAGCAAAGCATTGTAGAAAAGCGAAAATAAAGCAAAAATATTATATTATTTAATTAAAGGGAAAAAGGAAATATGAAAGAAATTTTTGTACCATATTTAATAATATTGGCAAGAAATTAAGTAATTTAATATTTATTTTATTTCACTGAAAATAAGAGATTTTAAATTTAAATTACATGACATGCGAAGTGAAATAAAGTAAAGGATACGAGATAGCTATCCCTCGTTATACAACCAAAATCAAATAATAATAATAATAATATTCTTTCATAAAATTAGAATTTACAGCACACTTCATATAATTAATTGTTGTAATTAAATATTTTGATATTTTTAATGTTAAGATGTATTAATTTTTTTTAATTAAATTATT